GACGTTGCGGAGGAGGAGGAGGAGGAGGAGGAGGAGGAGGAGGAGGAAGTGGCACCAGGAAGCCCACGGAGAAAGGCACCCGATAGCTCTCCGCGCGGCACCGCGGAGCACCCTGCGCCAGTTGCCGAGGACGGGCTTCGCTGCGAGGCCTCGCCACGAGGCCAAGCAAAAGGAGGAACAGGAGTTTGCAGGCGACCTGGACCTTAAGGGGCCATGGAAACGACAGGGCCTTTTTGTACTGGTTCCGTTTTTCCGTTATTTTGCCGGTTCCAACGCCGTTTTTTTACCGGTTCCGTCGCCGTTGTTTGACCGGTTCCGGCTCTGGTTCCAATCCTGGAGCCGTTTTTTTGCCGTTTCCGGTCGCCGTTGTTTTGCCGTTTCTATTTTCAAGGGGCATTTTTTTGGAAACGGTGAAAAAAACGACCCTGCCGTTTCCGGGGCCCACAAAGGCCTGGACCACTGAAGACAGAACGCCCGCCCTGGGGCAGGAGAACTCCGCTGCTCCGCAGGGGAACAATCCACCAAGGCCGGCCAAGTGGACGTCCCCCAGATACGGCGCCGCACACACGTCCGAGCAAAAGGAGGAGGCGGAGAGTGACGAGGAGGAGGAGGAGGAGGAGGAGGACGAGGAGGAGGACAAGGAGGAGGACAACGAGAGGAGACGGAGAAGGGCAACGGCGACGACGAGGGCGGCGACGTTGGCGACGGCGATGACGACGACTGAGCCGGCGCCAAAGACAGCCAATCTCTCTGGGCGGAGGCGCCAAGACGGGCGGGCCCGGTCATGCCGCTCGAACTCGCCGCGGAAGACGCGGGAGAAGAGCTGCGGGTGGGGCGGGAGGGGGGGGCGCTGAGTTCGGGCGGCTGGGCGGCAGTTGCTGGGTCGTTGCTGGCCGCGGTCGAGGATGGAGGGCCGAGGATCGACGATGACGCTCCTTCTTCTCCTCCTCCTCCTCCTCCTCCTCCTCTTCCTCCTCCTCCTCCTCCTTCTCCTCCTCCTCCTCCTCGTCTTTCTCCTCTCCTCATCCTCCTCCTCCTCCTCCTCCTCCTCCCCTCCCCTCCTCCTCCCGCACCCCCTCCTTCACCGCCTCCTCCCCGCCTCCTCCCCCCTCCTCCTCCCATTCCTCCTCCTCCTCCTCCTCCTCCTCCTCATCCTCCCCCTCCTGCTGCTTCTACATATGCTGCTGCTACCCGCTTCTGCTCCTGATACTGGTCCTCCTCCTCCTCCTCCGCCTCCTCCTCCTCCTCCTCCACCTCCTTCTACTCCTCCCGCTCGTGGTCCTCCTTGCCACGCTTCCTCCTCGTATCCCCGACCCCCGAGGATCGAGGAGGGCATGTGATCCAGCTCTTGAGCAGCTCTGATCATTCGGGGTGGCCTCTGGGCCTCCGCCGGGGCCTCGCAGAGGCCTCGGCAAGGGCCTCCCGGGGACGCCCGAGAACCTCCCGTGGGAGTCAGGACCTGGGGCGGAGGCTCAAATTACCAGCAGCAGGTTTTCCGTCTTGCCCACGATCGGGGGGGCGTGGGACCTGTGGAAGCCTCCAGGGACCTAGTCGCTGGCATGATGTCCATCTTTCCTCCTGCTCCTGCTGCTCCTCATCCTCTTGTTCCATCTGCTGCTGCTTCTCGCAATCATTCTCTGTCTCTGCCCCTTCTTTCTGCTACACTCCTCCTCCCGCTCCTCCTTCTCGTGCTCCTCCTCCTCCCGCTGCCTCCTCATCATTCCGCCTCTCCATCCTCCGCTTAGAAGGGGGATGAGGACAGAAAGCGCCCCTCCTCCAGACTCTGTATCCTCCTCTCCCTCCTTCTTCTCCTCCTCCTCCTCCTCCTCCTCCTCCTCTTCCTCCTCTTTCTAGCCGCATGCTCCCTCTTTTCTTTCTCCTCCCCCTCGGGAGGGCCAGAATTGCCAGCAACGCAGGCTCTCCAAGATCCTCGAACCGCGATCCTTCTCCCCCTCCTCCTCCTGCTCTGCCTCCTCGTGATCGTGGTATACGCTCAAGACGCCCCCGCGCCCGCCTGGTTGGAGTAGCCGCCGTGGCGCCACTCTCCGCCGTACACCCGCATCATGACGGGCACGCTGGAGTGCGCGAAGAGGCAGAAGACCACCTCTCGGGGTCCCACCCGCCCATCCCCCTTCCCCCCTGCCCATCCCCGATGCCCCTCCCCCCCCCCTCCACAGTTACACAATATGAATACTACTCTCCTCCCTCCCCTGACTCTGTCCAGAGAATCTCCCGTCCTCCCAGCGCATTGTTTTTTACACACAGAATTCCATTCGTGCTGTTCCAATACGGTCGTTTCTGGTTCGTCCAAAACGGTGCTCCCGCTGCAGCGCCGCCTCCATTTCCGCGCTTCGGTCATTCAAAGTCGTGTTTCCGCCGCAGCGCTGGACTCGTTACCGCGCCTCTGGACGGCACTTGGCAGTCGAAAGCGCCCCCCACATTGGGTAGGCACGGTTGCGGAGGACATGGAGCCGGCATTCCCGACATGCCCTCTCCTCCCGTAGACGGGCCCCTTACCCGCCAAACCATATGGTGCAATGCCAGGGCATCGAATGCGAGGCTGTGCTGTGCACCGCTGTGCGATGCCATGCTTTGCGTTGCTACGCTTTGTGATGCGATGATTCACTGCGCAATGCCACGCCATGCTATGACATGCTATGCTCTGCCGTGCTCTTCTACGCCGTGCTTCCCCATCCATCGTTCACCCTCTTTGGATCATTGCCCTGCTCGACATCCAACTGTGCGAATAGATCGGAGATCTACGCCATAGTGAAGGATGGGAGGGAGGGTTGGGACGTCAATTGTGACGCCAGCGGCAACTAGGCTGCCCTTTTTTCCCCTCCGCCTCTCCCCCGCCCGATGCCCCCCCCCTCTCCCCCTCCTACAGCCCCTCCCCCTCCGCCACCCCCTTCCCCTCCCCCTACCTCTTCCCCAGTCCCCCCCTCCTCCTCTCCTCCCCCTTCCTCCTCCTCCTCCTCCTCCTCTCCTCTCCTCCTACTCCTGCTGTTCCTCCTCCTCCTGCTGTTTCTTCCTCCGCTCCTCCTCCTCCTGTTCCTCCTCCTCCTCCTCCTCCTCCTCCTCCTCCTCCTCCTCCCCTCCTCCTGCGGCGGCGGCGGCTCGCTCTTGAGGCGGAGCCTCTCGAGCCTCCTGCTGCGCTTGCTCGCTCTGGAGTGGGAGCCCCCATCTAGCCTGGACGCGCTGCGCGACCGCGGCCCGCCGCCATGAGTGGCGGCAGCCCCTATTGTCCCTCACGCCCCCATCCCCTCCTCATCCCTTCCTCCTACACCTCATCATGGTCATCAGCATCATCATCAGACTCATCATCACCACCACCAGCATCATCATCATCATCATCATCATCATCATCATCATCATCACCACCACCCTCATCAGCATCATCATCACCACAGCGTAATCAACATCATCATCAACATCATCACCACCATCACCAGCGCCGCTAGCATCACCATCGTCATCATCACCCTCGTAATCAGAACCAACAACATCAACATCAGAATCAGCATCATCAGTATCAACATCATCATCAGCATCATCATCAGCATCAGCATCACCCCCGTCATCATTATCATCATCAGCATCATCATCATCAGCATCGTCATCATCATCGGTATCATCGTTAGTATCAACATCATCATAATCAGCATCATCATCCTCATCAGCATCGTCATCGTCATCGTCATCATCATCATCATCATCATCATCATCAGCATCATCATCATCATCGTCATCATCCACACCATCAGCATCATCCTCATCGTTATTTTCCTCTTCATCACCGTCGCCATCATCATCGTCATCAGCAGCCGCAGCCCTAACAGCATCAACGTTATCATCATCAGCATCATCACCCTCAGCATCAGCATCATCATCAGCGTGGCAATCGCCATCGTCATCATCAGCAGCAGTATCAGCATCGTCAGCACGCGCTGCTTAATCATAATCATCACCATCACCATCATCAACAAAAAAAAGATTCGCCATCAGCATCGTCATCGTCATCACCACCAAAACAATCAGTATCATAAGCATCATCATCGGAATCAGCATCATCCGCATTAGCATCACCATCATCAGCATCAGCATCGCCATCATCATCACCATCATCATCATCATCATCATCATCATCATCATCATCATCATCATCATCATCATCATCATCATCATCGTAATCATCATCATCATAATCGTCGTCATCAGCATCGTCATAATCAGCATCATCAGCATCAGTATCAGTATGCTAAATATCTCCCTCTTCCCCACCCTCGTCCTTATTCTCTCCGCCTCCTAATCATAACCAGCATCATCATGTTTATCACAACCATAATCACCATTATCAGCATCTGCAGCATCATCATCATCATCATCATCATCATCATCATCATCATCATCATCATCATCATGATCACCATCACCATCATCATCACCACAATCAGCATCGTCATCAACAGCATCAACATCACCATCACCACCATCGTCGTCATCGCCATCGTCATAAACATCGTCACCACCACCACCGCTAGCATCATACTAATCACGACCATCACAATAATGATCATCATCATCATAACCGCCATCATTAGCATCAGCATCACCAACATCATCGTTATTAGCGGTCACAGCATCATCATCATCATCATCATCATCATCATCATCATCATCATCATCATCATCATCATCATCATCATCATTATCAGCATCGTCATCAACATCATCATCATTACCAGTTTCCTCCTTCTCACCCTCCTCCTCATCCTCCTCCCATGTCGGATCAACTGGGGGGATAGCAAGAAGGCGTTGCCAAAACAACTCGCTGAACTGGCTCTCCACGAGCCAGAGGCGCGAACGTATCGAGGAGCTCGCCCAGCGGCGGGGTCGAAACCAGCTGCACGCAGCAGATGTCGTACCCACCCTTTCTCTAACCCCCCCCTTTTCGTTCGACCCGATGTTCGAAAATCGTAGGGAGAACACCAGGTCCCAATACCGCTACTCCCTGGAGCTCTCCTGGGCTCCGTTCTGACTGGAATCTCGAGGCGGTCCCAGCGGTGGCGACGAGGGCCTCCCAGGAGGCTGGGAAAAAGGGGAAACGAGGCAAGGGTACAGGTCGTTCATTTCTAATCGTGCTCATTTCTAAGTGTGCTCGTGTCTGATTGTTCCTGGCCCCCTAGTGGCCAGGAAGAGGCCCAGGATGGAATAATTACAAGTGAGAGGACCTTGGCCCCCCAAAAAAATCAAAGAACGCTTTAAATAATTAGACATGAACAATGTGTAGTGGTATGGGGACCTCCTTCTCCTCAGGACCTCCAGGGAGGGGAGGGAGGGAGAGGGGCCTCGAAGACCGAGGCTCGACAAACTTGCCCCCCCTGCGGCGGCCCTCCCGAGGGACCTCAGGAGACCCGCGCCGAGGGCCCCCCGAGGCCTGCGGAGGGCCCCATCGGACATCCGGAGGCACCCCCCACAGGCAGTCCAGGACAGCCAGCGGCGGCGGTGCGAGGGGGCACCAAACGAGGGGGGCACAAAACGAGAGGGGGCAAGTCACTCGTTTCAGCACGAGAACAACTACACCAGAGAAAAAACCCAATCAGCGCATGGTTCTCGCTGAAGAAATCGACCAGGAACCCGGCAGCCCGGGAACCCAGAACCCACCGAAATCGGCCCGGAACCAATCACCGGGAACCCACCGGGAACCCGGGAACCCAGCCTGCTACCCACACTCGGCGGAAAACTTTCGCCTGAGCTTTCCACTTCCGCTACAGGACCCCCTCAGTGCAAGCACTGATTGGGGAGCCATCCCCGCCCACTTCCGAGGAGCCTTGGCCCCGCGGGGCAGGCTGCCCCCCTCTGGGCGGGGGGTGGGTGACGTCTCCCTCGGGCGTCGGAGCACCCCTCCCCACCTCGAGGGCGTACGCTGGGAGAGCCAGCCTACCCTGCCTCGGCGGGGGGTGGGGGCGCCTCCTCCTACTCCTCCTCCTCCTCCTCCTCCTCCTCCTCCTCCTCCTCCTCCTCCTCCTCCTCCTCCCCCTCCTGCTCCTCCTCCTCCTCCTGCTCCTCCTCCTCCTCCACGTAGTCTGCCTCGGCGTCCTCCTCGTCGTCCTGCTCGTCGTCCTCGTCTCTGCCCTCTGCGCCCAGCAGATCCGACTGTTCCGACGATGGCGAAATTGGGTGATCTCAACGAATGCTGGGGGCGTTGCTGTTGCGGTCGACCGTGCAAGGAGACACACAGAACGGAAACCTTCTCAGAAGGCGGCGAGGCTTGCTCACACGCTCGAGGCTTCCACCACGGGGTCCGAATGGATGGGGTCGGGTATCGGAGGATCTCGCCGACATCGGCGATGCATCGCCGCGATGCATCGGCGATGCGCCGGCGACGTCGGCGACGCATCGACGACGTCGGCGTAGAGAAAGATCCGCCTCACACCGAGCCGCATCGCTGATTAATCGCCGATGCATCGGCGATGCATCGGCGATGCGGCGCGATCCTCCGACCCCCTCTATCGGGAACCCACAAAGGACGTACGCGCCCAACTATGTACATGAACACGGCCCTTCGATCCGCGAGACCGGCCGCGTGAGACGAACATTCGCGCAATGCGTGCTCTCGAAACCAGCGTGGATTCATGTACGCGTACGTCCTCTTTCGCTCTTGCATCTATAGCAGGCCCAGAAGCCCTCTGGCTCGCTCGGAAGCCCTGCGGCTTCGGAGGAGGCGAGAGAGCTTCGAAAGCTTCCCGGGAGGAGGCCTCCAGAGCCTACTGATCAAGGGGCCCAGGGGCACACAAACAAATACACACAAATCACAGGATTCCCCATCTTTTCCCAATATTTTTCTAGGTTTTTGTCTCCCCCCCACTTCCCATATTTTCCCAGATTTTCTTGGGAGTCGACGATTAATTGTGTCTGTGTGTTTCTTTCCCTCCTGAATTGAGAAGGTCAGCCCCCATCTGCCTTCCCCCCTGGGGGAGCCGCAGAATCCAGAGCGGAGGAGGAGGAGGAGGCAAAACATTGGGTTTGGCGGCGCGCATAGGGGGGCACTTCGAGGGATAATTGCGAGTTGCGAGCTGTCCCACGTGATGGTCGAAACGAACTACGAGCGGCGCTGCGGCCCTACACCTGCAGACAAGGCCCGCGCCTTCTAAGAAGCAAGGGTGCTCCTAAGAAGCCTTCCCCCCTCCCCCTACCCCCCACCCTGCGTGTGGCCGAGGGGTGGGTAAACGGACAACTCCATAGTGCGCAGTTGTGCCCTTGGTCCTGGAAGAGGGTTGGAACCCCTTCTTGTAACTAGAGCTCGACGAAGGCTAAAGAAACGACAGCACGAATCCACGAGGTTGCCATCCCGAGATATCCGACATCGCGCTTTGGCCACAGCCTGACTTTCCAGACGGTCTGGTCTCCACTCGTTCCCGGGGACGCGCGGATTTCACCCTGAGTCGTTCACTCTGACGGCCCTGGGGCCCATAGAGGGCCCGCAGACGCAGAAGTACCCCGCCAACAAAAAGAGCGGGAGGGACAGAGGAAAAGGAGAGGGGGAGGGAGGGGAAGGAGGAGGAGACAAAGCAGGAGGGACGATGAGGAGGCGTGCATCTCTCACTCTTGTTTTGTTGGTCTCTCTCTCTCGCCCCTTCTCTCTCCCCCTCTCTGCCGTCCTCCCGGGGCTCTCCGCGAGGGGAGGGGGCCGGGGAGGGGGCCGGGGAGGCCACCTGCAGCAGCAGGGACACCGCCTCCTGCTCGTGGCCGGGGGAGGCCTCGCGGCTGCGGGGAGGGGACCGCAGCAGGGCCAGGCACCGAACAAACACGCAAACACACCAGGGCCGAACCCAAACGTTGCTTTCCGTTCTCGTTTTGTTGTTGCTGTCCCTCGTTTTGTCTTCAGTCCGCCTCTAGCGCAAAACGAAATCGAAATGAAAACGGCCCACGAAATCGCGCACACCCACACCCACGCCCACGCCCGCGCCCACACCCGCACCAACGCCCACACCCACACCCACACCCACCCACCCACACCCTCACCCGAGGAGTCTCCAAGGGGCCTGGAGCCCAGACTGCCAAATTTCCCGGGGCTCGGCGCGGCTTGTCGCTGGACTTTTTCGGGGCCTAGGGGTCCAAAGAAGGGACAAGAGGGCTCTCCAAGAGGCACTGGGTCCACAGCCCAGGCACGGTGGCGGGTTGGACCGAAGGTCGGTAAATCCGCCGCCCCCTGTTGGCTTGCCACAGGGGTGCCCGGCGTGCTGAATCCTACCGCTCTTGGTTTGGGCTCGATTTACTAAAATCTACCTTGGGGCTTCGGCCTGTCCCGCCCGCCGCCCGGAAGGCCGCACGAGGGAACGCAAACCACCTCAACGTCCTGAAACACTCTCCACGACGGCTCAAGATGGCATCCAACATGGCCATGTTGGCCCAAGATGGTTTCCAAGTTCGCCCAAGATGGCCCAAGATGGCCTCCAAGACTGCCCAAGAGGGTTCAAGATGCCGCCAAGTCCGCCCAAGAAGCCTCCACACCGGTCCAAGAAGGCCCAAGAGACCCCCAAGAGGTCTTCAAGACGGCTCAAGAGGCCTCCAAGAGAGCCTTCAGGAAGGCCCGAAGAGGATAACATTCTTGATTTTCCTTTGGTTTGTTTTTCTGTAGATTTTGGCATTTGTTCCTTTTCGCCCTTCCGACGGCACGAGACGGCCCAAAGATCAACCCAAGATCGCCCAAGAGGCCTCCAAGGCGGCCCCAGAACGGCCCAAGAGGCGCCAAGACCGCCCCAGGAGGGCCCAAGAGGCCTCCAAGACACCCAAAATGGCCTCCAAGACCGCCCTGGAGCACCCCAAGAGGGCCCCCAGTCGGTTCAGAGAGGCCCCAAGGCAGCTTTCTGCGGCGTTGGACGGCCCAGGAGCCCACCAAGGCAGCCCAAGATGGCTCTAAGATGACCCAAGACGGCCCAAGCGGCCCCCAAGAGGTCTCCAAGACGCATTCCCATAACATGCGACCAAACGGATTTAGCGCGCGCGCATGTCGAAATCGTTCGAAAGCCCTCGCGCGCATGCCGTCGCTCACGCACGCCGAAACCCGCCAAAAAACTCTCAGGAAGGCCCGACGAGGCCAAAATCATTGATTTCCTCTGGTTCATGACTTCTTTCGGCACTTGCTCCTTTTAAGCCTTCTGGCAGCCCGATACGGCCCAAGAGCCCCGAAAGCTCGCCCGCAAGGCCTCCAGGATGGCTCCCAAACGGTCCAAGAGGCCCCCAAGACGGCCCTAAGAGGGCCCTAAATCGGCCCAAGCGGCCTCCAAGGCGCCCAAGGTGGCCCTGGAGCACCCCCAAGAGGGCTCCAGGCCCGCCCAGAGAGGCCCTCACGACGGCTTCCGACGGCGTCATACGGGCCAGGAATACCCTGAGACGGCTGAAGAGGCCCCCTCGAAGACCCCAAAGGCCCAAGAAGCCCAAGGAGGCCCCCAAGATGGCCTCGAAGAGGCTCCCGGGAAGCCGCCAGGAGGCCCCAAGAATGCCCCCAGAGGCTCCCCAGATGCCCCCTCCTCCTCCTCCTCCTCCTTTTCCTCCTCCTCCTCCTCCTCCTCCTCCTCCTGATCTTCCCCGCCGTCCCCCCCAAGTGTTCCCCGAGGGGTTCCACAACGGTGGCGGGGCCACCTGGTCCGACAGCTTGGCAGAGCTCTCGCCACAGCCCTCGGCCGCACGGGCGAGCCATAAGAGGCAGGGGGCGGCGGCGACTCGCCGCAGGCGCCTCCGATGCGCAGGCCGGCGAGCCGAGCCGGGCGCGCAGCCACAGGGGGCTGCCGCGCCGTGCCGGCGCGTGCCCAGCCGTGGCACGCGCCCAGGGAGCCTGGCTCGCGGCCGCCTGGCCAGAGCCAGCAGCCCTGCCCCTCTCCCCTCCTCGCCGCCTCCTCTCTCTCTCCCCTCCTCGCCCGGGAGCGGCCAAGAGGGGGGTGTCCAAGAGGGGGGGGGCGTGCAAATCATGGCTGCGCGGCCCAGCAGCAGGGGGGGGGGGGGGGGTGGGGGAGGGGGGGGGGGCCCAGGGACGTCATGAAAGAAGAAGGGGCGCCATGACGTCTGGGGAAATATCATGGCCCCCGCCATGATATCCACCCCCCCTAGTCATCACCCCCCTCTCTGCCACCCCTGGCTCTCCGTCCGCGCACACGTGCCAGCACGCAGCCCCGAGACCAGGCAGGCCGGAGCACCCCTACGCGTCGACCCCGGACGGGGCCCTGCGCAGGCGGCCCCGGAGCCCCTGTGGGCCCCCCCCCCGGAGGTCACCGGGGGACCCGAGACCTTCCCCGGGGTCACCTGCTGGCCGGCCGGTGCCTCACTGCCGTGCCCAGCGCAGGGGAAGGAGGTCGGCATCGGCACAAAGACACGTCCCTTCGCTCGTCGAGGGCGGACAATCCCCCCCCTTCCCACAAGAATCACCCCGACACGCGAAGCCGTTTCGTAAGCGCACCCACAAAGAAGGAAGCAAGCAGGGCAGGGCTATTCAGCAAACGCCCAATCAGGCAGGGCAGGGCTGTTTGGGAAACGCCCAGGGCCGTTCGGTCAACACCAATTGTCGGGTCCAGGTGCTCTTTTCTCCCTTGAGCCTGAGCCCTGGCATCCTGGCGCTGGTGTCGACTCCCGAGGCCCAGAGAGCCGCCACCACATCAACCACATTGGGGGGGGCGCGGGGCAGCGGAGTGTCCGGCCTCCTCCACCCTCCTCCTCCTCCTCCTCCTCCTCCTCCTCCTCCTCCTCCTCCTCCTCCTCCTTCTCCTCCTCCTCATCCTCCTCATCCTCCTCGGATCCTCCTCCTCCTCCTCCTCCTCCTCCTCCTCCTCCTCCTCCTCGAGGGCCGAGCTCAAGGCTCGGGGATCGAGAGCGTTTTTTTTTCTGGGCGTGCGGCGGCCGCGTGTTGGCTGCCTCCTCGGCGGCGCCCCCGTGGCCACGGCCGGGTCCGCCCCGAAACTCTGACCAGGACGAGGCAGAGGGACTCTGGCACGTGATGCGAAGTTGTTCCCCCCTCCCCTCAAAATATCCTCCTCCTCCTCCTCCTCCTCCTCCTCCTCCTCCTCCTCCTCCTCCGATTCGCAATACGTGACGGATCCAAATCCCCGACAGGACCAGGGTCGAGGCTTTCTGTGCGCTGGGTCCCCTGTCTTTGCCTCCTCGAGCGCCCTAAGGAGGGCCGCCACGGCTGGAACTCCGCCGCGACATGCCGGCCAGGACCTCGCACCCCGGGAGGAATCCAGGGGGGCTGGGGGGGGCTTTTCGACCCGGGGCCATCCTCGTGACCCAGAAAGGAGGTCCAGCTGAAAGGGGCTTGTGCAACAGATTTGGGGCAACTGTACTGCAAATGTGTTGCGCCAGAGAATTGTATTGCACTGTATTGCAACAAGTGGATTGCACGCGAAAGCCCAGCAATCCACTTGCGCCCGGGGATGTATTACACACCCCAGATCGATTGCAACCCGACATATCCATTATTATCTATTGCACCAAATCTGTTGCACCACCCCGTTTTCACTGGACCCCCTTCAAGGTTCACCAGAGGCCAGCAAACCCTGCGTCCTGGAGGAAGTGGAGGGGCAGTTGTTTTCATGGTGTGAGGCACATGGCGGGGATTCTGGAAACCCTGGACCCGGAAAGGTCGTCATCTCTTGGGATGTCGGCTCTTGCTTCTGCGGGCTTCCGCTGGCCTTGCGCCAGCTTCCGCTGACGGAGCCACCCTCGTTTTACTTCCGCCGCCTTCCGCCGACCTTCTGCGGCCTTCCGCCGAGGAAGAGGTGACAGCTCACTCGAACATGGGGGGCCCGTGTGCGGGGCCCGGGGCCGTCAAAAGACTACCCGAGGCGAAACACTGCTCTTGGGGGAGGGGTCGACCGATCCTTGACGAGTCATCCTCATGGAAGGTCGTGACCTCGGAGGTCTAGATTCGGCTAACGCTTGACGCCGTGGTCGTCCTGCCACTCCACTCTCCCTGACGTCTCGTGCATCTCATCCGCCGTCCGCCGTCCCGCTTCCAAGTCGTCCTGGCGGGCACGCGCCAAATCTCGAGCACGATAGGACAGGCTCGCCCTGCTCGTATGGACTCTGTGGCCAAGACGGCCCCGTGACCCACCGCGATGGTTATGCCTACTGACGCCTCCTGAAGGAAACGCCAGCGCCCGCGCCGCGGGGCCAGCGATCGGCCTCGCGTTTGTGCTTCGCTTCGACGCTGAGGCTTCACCTGGGAAGCAGAACTGTTCATTCCCACCCCCCGCTGGCGCCCATTGCGCGTTCCAGTTGAGATGCTCACTTCTGCTCTCGCATCCTGGCTCTTGTCCAGGACCTGCGTCGTTGCCCCCCCCTCCCCCGCAACTACAGCAACGGCTCCCGCCTGGGACTTCCCCACCAGTTAATGCGGGATGACGATTAACAAACAAATGTGAGAGAACGATTAAAACAACAAAATTTCTGCTATGCCTGCACAACTTTCTGACTGGAGGAGAACGATTAAAAAAATGGTTGTCCAGCCCGCGGCCGGTTTCTTCTAATCGTCATCCCGGGCGCCGCCGCGTGAACACAACCCCCGGTCATTTATTAATCGTCATCCTCCGTTATCCAGAGACCGCGCTCTCGCTCAGGACTCCCCGTGCGAGTTCCTCGGGGAACCGCGCGCTCCCCCCGTGGACTCCCAGAGCGTCCCCACCAGGTGTGGAGCTCCCGCCTCCTGGCAGCTCCGCCGCCTGGCCTGGAGCGTCCAGCCCACTCGCTCGCCCTGGACACCCATTGCTGACAGCTCAGGACCTGCCGCCCGCATCCACCTGCCCCGCCCGACCGCCCCGTTTGAATCGGCTACACGCAGGAGTGACCCTGGGCAAGGGTGACCTCCTCTGGTGCGTGGCTCCACGGGGGACGCGGGGGTGGCAAAACCTGGGCGCGCAAGCCGCTGCTACCGTTAAGTCGGTCGTGTCCCCCTACAGGGGGATTTCGACGAAAAATATCAAATACTCAAACAATACCCCACAATGGTCTTAAAAATACTCCAGAAATTAGTCCCCCGACTATGTTTTGACTATTTTTGAATATTCCTCCTGTAGAAAGAACAGCCCGACTTAATGCTACCGCTTCGCGTGCAGCGATCGGGAGTCCCCACTGGGCGCGCGCCAGAGGCCCCTCCGGCGAAACGTCCCTCTTGCGCCTAGTCTCGGCGGTGGACAAACCTCCCTTTAGTAAACCACCCTTTAGTGAAAACGGCCTGGGATAGAAACCGACGGACCTGGACCCGCAAAAATGACGGCCGCGACGCCCTCTCGCGAACCGAAAACGGCCAATTCCTGAATCGACGAGTCAGGGTCGGAGGTCCATCAACCTCCGGCCCCACTGGGCGCGCACCGGAGGCCCCTCCGGCGGAAGGCCCCTCTTGCGGGCAGTACGTATATCCATATCCAGAGCGTCTTGGACTTTTCGGGAAGAGGTGCCGCAACGCCGAGGCGCACTGGATATGGATAAAGTCAAACCTCTTGGGGCAAGATGTTTATCCATATCCAGTGCGTCTACGGTTTCTGGGAAGAGAGCCCAAGACTCCAAGACGCACTGGATGTGGATATATCTATTGCTCGCACCTCTTGCGCCCAGTCGAACTTTGGGGGGCCCGCCCGCCCTGCCTCGCCGGCGCCCGCCCGCCCGCTCGGGCCCGCCCGGGGGCCCGCCCGCCCGCCCCGCCCCCTGGGAGCCCGCCCGCCCGACCCGCCCGCCACGCCTGAGTCGGGCACGGCCCCCTCGACAGGAGGAGACTTCAAACATGGTCGCAGCAAGAGATGAGAAGATGGGGTCGCTGTTTCGACGATGCTTGCCTGGTCTTCTGAGCATTCCTGGACTCTTTGTCATTTTCCTGCCGAGCTCCGCCTGCAGGAGGACATGGCCCGACCTCACGCCAGGAGCCGCCCGATCCCGACCCCCGACACGCCTGCCTGTCGAGCTCTGCCCGCGCAGAGAGAGCGAGAGAGCCGCTCCCCTCTCGCCCCCCCCCCCCACACCGTCTCCGGCACGCGGTGCGGCAGTCGCAGGAGACGGAGGAGGAAGAGCGCAGAGGGCGGAGGAGGCTTCCGAAAGAGAACGGCGGAGAGGAGGAGCGGGCGAGGAAGAGCGGAGAGCGGCGAGGAGGCTCGAGCAAGCGCCCAAGCTCGGACGCCTCAGGACGGGCTGCGACGCCGCCGCCGGGCCTTGAACAGCGCTGCGAGGAACCTCGTCAGCCAGACGAGGCCGAGTGCGAGCAGGCCCGTGAGGACGAATACCCATGGGTAGCAGAAGCAGAAGGGGACAACGTGCGTCAACCTCAGCCGAATAGGAGAAGGCAAGACAAGCAGAAGGCAAAAGGAGGCATGAGGAGGGAGAAAGCGTGAGGGGGTGGAGAGATTAGAGGGTAGAGAGAGAGACAGAGAGATGCGGAGACAAAACAGAGAGAGAGAGAGAGCAAGATAACGCGAGAGAGAGAGAGAGACAGAGGGAGAAATGGGATGTGGGAGTGGGGAGGGTAATGAAGAAGTGGCAGGCGCAGGGACAGGGGCATGTAAAGCGGCAAGGGAAACAATGAGGAGGATTATGCTAAGGAACAACCGCATTAACAAGAACACCAGCAATGACAAATTACATGATACGTCATCGGGAAGCCATACGACCCTGAACAGAAGCTGACAAACTTGGGCAGGAAGACCGCACCTTCGCTCCGTGGCCAGTCACGACCTCCGCATGGTGGCCTTTACGTCGCCAGTGCTCGAAGCGAGGACTGCACCGCCTTCCACCCTCCACCTCCTGCTTGCCATCCCATGTATCGGGCTCAAGCCAGTCTGGGCCCGGCGTGTGATCCCAGCTAGAACTCCAACCTGCGACCATGCCGGTGCAGCGGAGTCCTCCTCGGCCGAATCAGCACGGCCCAACGGGTCTAGACGAGCCCGCTCGTGGCATCGCCCACTTCGCAGCGCCAAGAATAGCGAAGGTCGCTGAGAGTTAGGTCGGGCGTGTCCCCCTACAGGCGAATGTTGGGCGAAACACTAAAAATACTCAAACAATACCCTCAAATATTCAGAAAATGAATACAAAATAGTCCCCAGACTATGCTTCAACTATTTTTAAAATATTCCCCCTGTAGAGGAAGAGGCCCGACTTGAGCCGAGAACCTTCGGAAACGCACTGGGCCCGAAGATCTCCGCAAGCAACCCCTCAAGCAGCGGACATGCAGGAGCAAGGAGTGGTGTCGCGAGCCCTGGAGGTGGCCCCGGCCAGGCTTCTGTGGCCCAGGCCCCCCCAGATACCACCCGAAGACGCCAGCAAATGGCACAGAACTTCATCCGATCTCTGACCCACTCCTCCTCCTCCTCCTCCTCCTCCTCCTCCTCCTCCTCCTCCTCCTCCTCCTCCTCCTCCTCCTCCCCCCCCCTCCCTCCTCCTCCTCCTCCTCCTCCTCCTCCTCCTCCTCCTCCTCCTCCTCCTCCTCCTCCTCCTCCTCCTCCTCCTCCTCCTCCTCCTCCCTCCTCCTCCCTCCTCCGTCCCTCCTCTCCCTCCTCCCTCCTCCCCTCCTCCTCCCTCTCCCTCCTCCTTCTTCCCTTCTCCCTCCTCCCTCCTCCCTCCTCCTCCTCCTCCTCCTCCTCCTCCTCCTCCTCCTCCTCCTCCTCCTCCTCCACGGATCGGGGTGGAGTAAGAGGAGGAGAACGAACACGAGGACGAGGAGGGTTGAGGCGCCTGCTGCTGCTCCTCGACTGACTGACTGAATGCGGACCGTGCAACCCCGGCGCGCGCGTACAGTCGGGGCGGATTGCAGAGGACGCGCGAGAGGACACAAGACCCTTTCGACGGCCACACTGCCATAGGAATGTAAAATGCATGGGTCGCGAAGCACAGGACACCAGGGCAACCTTGACTTGGCAAGGCCGACCTAAATCAACCTCGACTGTAGGCGAAGTCGGAAACAGCTGAAATCCGTCGCAGGCAGAGGTTTCCAACTGCTGTCTGGGGCGCCCCTCGGCGCACGCGGCAAGCCCAGCTTCTGGGAGCGCAGTCGCCGCTGCAAACTTGTCGCCTGGCAAGCGAGCCGGCGACCCACTCGCCACACCTAACAAACACAAGAAAGCACAAAGAACAGCAGGTACAATAGGAGCCCGACCACAAGAAACTGTCCACAAAAAACCCAGCCCTGAGACCCCAGGACGTCCATTCACGTTCGGTGTGGGAGCGTCACGCTTTCCATAGCAAAACCATCGAAACCCAAGACACCCAGGGCATCCTGGACGCAGGCAGGGTGTTTCTTGGCATGGTTTGAACCGTAGAAGCAGGTAGACCGCAGCAGTGGTTGGCGCCGTCCGTCGGCTCTTCCCACCACACTTAGCCATCCATCTCGCGATGCCGCGCTCCCCCTCGCCCCCCCCCCTGCTCCTCCGGCCGCTGGGAGAGGAGTAGCAGCAGGCGCCTCAACCATCCTTGTCCTCGAGTTTGTCCTCCTCCTCCTACTCCTCCCCGATCCGTGAAGGAGGAGAAGGAGGAGGATATTGAGGAGGAGGAGGAGGAGGAGGAGGAGGAGGAGGAGGAGGAGAAGCAGGAGGCAGAGGAGAAGGAGGAGGAGGAGGAAAATATACTATAATAGAATAACGCAATGGGGCTCCTGAAACCACGAACTCGAGGAATCGCCAAGCCCTGCGCGCTGCGTTTGCAGCTCGAAACTCCCTGCGGGCGGGTGGCCTGTCGGGTGCCGACCCGCGCCGCCTCTACCGAGCGGTCTCCCATCAGGGCGCGCAGCCAAGGAGATGCCCAGCTGAGAGGACCAGGCTTCAGCACGTACCCTCACGGACAAACACGATGGGGCGAGAGGAGACCTCACCCCCCGTCGACGGCGGGGGGGGGAGGGGAGGAAGGGTTTTGTCCAGAGGGGACGGCCGAGGCCGCCTCAAATTCGAGAATCCCTCCCTCCCTCCGCCCACGACCCCCACGACGACCAGTCCCACGACCACCTCCCTTTCCCTTAGTATTGGTGGGAGCCGCCTTAGGCACCACCAGCACTGGCGCATTCGGGAGCCTGGGGTCCGCGTAAGAAGGCGCAGCAAACGCGCGGTCCAGGACATCCCGAGAAACCACGCCCCTGGAAATCAAATCCCTGAGCCTAGCCGAAGTCGCCAGTGGAGTAGCAGAGAAGGCAGGCGGCATGCGGCGGGCGATCACTGTGCCATGAGACTGGCTAGATGCAGAGCCCTCAATCACAGCACCAGCACTGGTCACATGCGAAGTCGGGTTCACTTTATCTGTGATCCCAGCCATCTCTCCGTCGGGCCGCGTGGGGCCGCTCCTGGAATGGGCTCGCACTGCTCTACCTTGACCAGATACTCCATCAGAATGGGCCATAGCGTCCTCGCTGTCTCGAGATCCTGAGTGTTGAGCGCCACCGTGAGGTCTCCTCTCTTCTCCATAGGTTCGTCCTGGCCCTCCTTGACCTGGCGAGCCTTTTTGTAGCGGCACTGCAGCACGAACAAGCCCAGCTGTGCAGGAGTCTGCGTGCGAACGACCTTCGTCCAGAACTCCGTCATGGCAGCGTGGCCCTGTGCGTTGTGCGCCCGACCCTCTGGCGCAAGCTGGCCAATGGCCCGCTTGATGATGACCGCGAACAGAGCGACCTGAGGGGCGCCACGAGCCTTCCAGTCGATGCGTTCTCCTGATCGCTGTCTCTCCTTGAGAGACTTGGAGTCGTCGTCGTACTTTTTGTTGGCCAGCACGCGCTCCGCTCCGAGGGAGTCCGCGCCCTCTTGCACGAAAAAGGCGCGATAGACCACTGACTCCAGCATCGCCACCCTCCTCTCCAGGTTCAACACCAGCTTCGCAGAGCTGTTCACCATCGAGTCGGCCTTCGGCTGGATCGAATCCTCGCGGCCCTTCTTCTCCTCCGCCCCCGATCCTGGGCCCGCGACCCTCTTGGCAGGCGTCATCATCCATTCGGGCATCTCCAAAGTGGCGGATGCACTGGATGCGGCCGCGGCCGCCAGCACCACGAAAAGAAGAGTCTTTGGCATGAAGTGTCGGCGCAGAGACATGAACGGGAAGATGCTCGAGTAGATGTTTACGGAAGTCGTCGTAGTTCGCACCCTCGAACTCGCCGTCGACACTTGCAGATCGGAGGCTCCAGAAAGGCTGCGATAGAAGAGGCCCCACTCGGATCGCATCGGCCGCGCCGGATCGCACTCTGGAGGCGTCGGCTAGCTGTAGTCTGGGTCGCGAGCGTTCTTTGGCACGCGATGCACGAGTTAGAAGGTGTGGGAATGTGCGCCACATTTCTAATACGATGACGATGCCGAAGGTGTTCAGTAAGACCCCTAGGAGTGCGGAGATAAGCCCCACAGGTGATCCCATCCTGCGTGTGCGTGCACGTGTACATCTCCTCCTCGTCTCCCACCTCCACCTCAAGGTCCCTGAGCACGTACTCCTCCCCCGCCACCTCCAAGCCCGGTGGGGCCGCGCGGACCGCGAAGACAAAGGCCCTATTCTCCCCGAAGTCAATCTCGAGGAACTCCCTACGCTTATCCTCGGACGTGTACAGACGCCAAGGGGGCTCCGCGAGGTCCAGTAGGAGGTCCGAGTGGCCCAGACAGGCGGCAGCGGCAGCGTGGAGATCAGAGCGCATCTGAAGGGCACAGGGCGACGCATAGTTGGAGAGGCCGTACTCGGGCTCGCAGGGGTCGAAGTTCTCGGGCTCAGAATCGAGGGGGGGGGGGGGGAAAGGACCGCCCAAATCTGTTTGGTGGCTTCTGGGAAACGGGCCCAAGACTGATACCAAGAGAGCCTCCTGGCCCCAAGTTCCACCTTGCAGGGGGCCGCCTTCCAGAAATCCAGGACGCGCTTGTTGGTCAAGCTTTGTTGGTGAGTGGGCCCCATCCAAGAAGCACCTCCACGCGTCGCAATCCTGCCCAGCTTGGCAAGGTGGGCGTCCACCACGCTGCACTGATGGTCGCTCAAGCAGAAACACTCCATAGCTGACAACAACGTGTTCTGCACGAGTGAATGGAACAGGGTACGCTCCCACCTTCGCGGAATCTTCAAAGACCAGACTCCTCCAATACTGAAAAAGGCCGAATGCGTCGCAGAAAACCTGCGAGCCAGCTCGTGCGATGTCGTCTGCGTATGAGAAACCACAGGTCCCAAGTATCTGGCGACGTCTTGCACTTTGCCTTCAACAGCTCCCTGTCTGCTCATCCGTTGTTTGCAGGCCACAGCCCGCTTCCCGCAGACATGAAAGCTGGTGACTTGTTTCTCACGGTTCTGTTGTAGCCCGTCCATCTTCAGCGCCGCATCGAGAATGTCATCTGCCTTGGCCAGGGACGCAGCGACCTCCTGCATCGCGGAACCCACCATGAAAGCTATTGCGCGGTG